AATAGTCCTAGGGCTTTACTTTTTTCACTTATATTTTATATTCATGTATATATAATTGTTATATGTATGCTAATAGGGTTTGTATGGAAAGACAAAAACAAACATTAGAAAATCTTAACTCGAGATAATATAACTGAACCGAATCACATTTGCACACTTTGCACCTCTAGGGTAACCTCTCTTCGTTGCCTTTGGAAACATGGTCATGTCCCTCAAAAGTAAGGGTACTTTAGCAAAGACCCTCGATTAAATCATCATAGTCTCTTCAAATAAAGATTATGGTCCCGCGATGTCCCTCGAGTTTCCTACGAAAAATGATCTAGTCCCTTGTTGCCTACGAATAATATGATGATAGTCCCTTCAAATTGCTAAAGTATCCTTACAAGTTGCTTTCTATGACCATTTGACGACCTTTCGCCCGTCCCTTTACATCCAATAGATAAGACTACTTACCAACTAATGGCATGGATAATACTATCTCTAAAGGAGGAGAAAATAATAATAAAGACCTTTAGTGGGTAAGAACTCTTATATGCTTGCTCACAACTTTTCTCAAAACATTTTTCACACATCACTTTCAAACGAAATATTTTCTAAAACACTTTGTACGCATTCTTGAGGACTGATACAAGAATCATTACAAAGTTGGTCTTACATTGGATTTTCAAAATATTTTCAAACAAATCACACACACAAAGCAAGATTTTCAAAAGTGAGCTAGAAATTAAGAGCCCGTAGATAACTACGGGTGAAAAGGGTGCTAATACCTTCCCTTTTCATAACTTACCCCCCGAACTCAAAATCTATCAAGGCCTTTCCTGTTCTTTTCATCCTTTCCTTATATTGGATAAAATAAAATTCGACGGCGACTCTTGCTAACTGCAACATTTGCGATAAAAACGCTAAACAAGTCAGTTCTCCCACCGTATTACATAGCAGCACTAGGATGAGACATGTGAATAGTAATAATACAATGGATATTCCTTTATCTGATTTACAGAGCAGTTGATAGGATGTTCTACTATAGTCACGTGATGATATACTTTAATAGTATTTTCACATTTCTTCCTGTTACATCTAACATCATGAGTCATAGGCTTTTGATAGAGTTTGGTGAAGCTTGATTAGAGGTCAGAGTCATTGTCTTCTTCTCACACTTAACTTCTTGAGTTAGAGGCTTTTGATAAGTTGTGCTAAAGCTTGACCAGAGTAAATTCCTCAGAGCTTGAGATATCAGAGTCATAGATAATTTGATTCTATCTCAGATGTCTTCTAGATAGATTCTTGTAGATACATTGACTTGATAACCCATATTCTATATTTGATTTGTTGCTTCTTTAAGATCTTCTTTCAGACGTTATCCATTTGAATCAAAGACTTCAGATTTAGTTGGATGAAGATTGTTCAGAGTTTAAAGTCATTCTCTTTTACATCAGATTCTGCTTGCTTCTGATAACATCAATCTTCAGACTTCGACAGTCTTCAGATTCCACTGATCTTCCATGTTCAATATATGCTCTGCTTAGCATCTGGTGCATTTCAACTTGACTTGATATTTGTAGAAGTAGATAGAACATTGTAAACACTTCTTTATTTAATGGTTAGAGTGCGTTTGGATATCCAAAAATCCATAAATTCTTTGTTTATAATCCAGAACTTCACTTGTCCATATCCCACAACTTGCATGCTCAGAGTCCAGAGTTTATGAGTAAAATCTGCACACTTAAACAAACCGTTAGAGTACAAAATTGTTCTCTATACAAATGTAATTTTTATCATCAAAACTTCAAGGATTATTTGACGAACCAAACTTGTTCCAACAATTATGTTACAATGAACTAAGAAGGTCTAAAGTAAATAACCATATACCTCTTAAAGCTAGTAACACACCAGGACCTACAAAGATTTTGGTACCAAAGGTCAAAAGATAACATGTTTTGCATAGATGCTTTGAAACTTTTAATGAAGCCTTAGTGTGTATTAAATAAAGTTTTAAAAAGAAATACATTTGAGTATACAAGTAAAAGTCGTGCTTGATGGAATTTGATATTTATGAAGATTATGATCCAAGTTGTTCGTTGATGGTTTATCTCAACGAATGTGATCAAAGTATTTTTGTTCAGGATGCTTCTCAACAATCATGATGATTTATGATAGTCATTTAACCTCTTAGTAGGTTGAGGTGATAACTTTTAAATTGATTTATCAATCCTGTGGTTTGAACCAACTCTCGAGTTAATTTATTTGTCGAGAAGGATTTATGATAGGTTTCGTCATTCTCCTTAAAGGAGGAGTTTTACTCAAGTAACTTGAGACTTAAGGTGGTACACATTTTAGAGGTCAAAAAAATTGGAAAACTCTGATCAAACCTATAAATAAGTGGCTCATTATTTGCTCAATATTTAAATTATTATTATTGATGAATCACTTGAGTCTTAAGAATTTTTAGCAAAAGAGGTGCAATCTGATTAAAAAGGGGTGTCAAAAGTAGTATACTAAAGCTAAAACTCAACCCAAGACCCAAAAAAGACCAGGAAAGCTAAAAATAAGAAGGATGATCGATTTGCCTAATTGATTAGAGCCTCATTGCGCTTCAAAATTTTAAGTTGAATCAGAATGTATCTTGACCTCCAAACAAATCAAATCACAACATTAATGAAGAACACATAAATTATTCAAAATCATCAACAAATACTCGATTTGGTCTGTTAAATAATCGATTATAACACACAATTTGGAAAAATTTTGCTATCAATCTTTTCTGGGCCAAATATTCAACAATTTTGTGGAGTTTTGATACGCCCAAAAATTTAGAAACAACATTATAAATATGTACTCCTATTCCTTTCTTTTGCATCGTATTTTCTCTCTCTTCTTCTTGTGGCGTCTCTTTTATTGCTTTTCCTTCTTACCTTGTATAAATCTGCTAAAAGAAGACATAATGGTTGGTTGTCTTTTCCTGGCGGTGAAAGCCTCAAGGTGCGTATGCCAACCTTTCCTTCCTTCAGAATGAGATAATTTTCTCCATGCCTTTTGATCCTCTTAGGGCGGTGAACCTCAGGATAAGTATGACTTTCCTTCCTTCAATAATGGGGAAAAGAGTACAGTGCCTATGTCGATGACTTGGGGATTTTTGGACCTCTTCTAGACCCTTTCTCAATTCTGGAACATCTATTTTGTGTGAGGCTGCCTCTTCCACAATGTTATTCCTCAAATTTGTGTTATGTACACTTTCTTTGATTCGAGTTAGCCTTTCCACCAAGGCCTGAGAGTTCTGATATTGAACCATCTGGTACACATTGTTCAACAACTCATCGGCTCCTTGCAAGCTAAGATTAGTCTCTAAGAGTTAAAATTCGGAAAATGCTTCTCGGCCGGGCATCGTAGGAGATAACGGAGGTCTGGACGAAGGTTCACCTAAATGAAACTATAGTGTAGATCCGAGGAATGAAGGTAGTGGAAACACTCCTTGATCTTCCATAAAATGGACATAACTCTGAAGCGAGGGAATAAATTGAACAATTGTCATGATCGTTTGTCCCTTAAGGAGGAGGCGAAAGATTCTTGATAGCTTCAGCGGCTGCAACGACTTGTCGTTGGATGGCAAAACGGGTAGATTTGGAGACTGTCATTGTAAATGGATCCAAAGGAGGATAACTTGAATCCGACTCTGAAGAAATTGATCAAGAAATGAAGATATGTGCTTCGATAGAAGGAGATCCAAATTTTTTATCTAGAGAAATTTAGTTGTATCAAGGGAAGTTAGGTCTTGAAAAATCACAGGAATTAGAAGATGATTCCCATAGACGACCCAAATGTTCTTCTCTGGAACTAGGTGATGATCAGAAAGAGATGGTTCATAGTCTGTTACAGTGGTTCATTGATTCTGAAATAGTCGAGAGGGGCTGACCTGCAAGGTTAACACCCTAACACTCAAGTTAGCTAGAGAATGAGAAATATAATTTGAATAATTGAAAAATGACAAAACTTCTCCTTAAATAAGAGACGTGGTTAGCAACAGAACATATGTGATTAGACGCAATATGTGATCAACCGTTTGATCAATCTAAACAGTTGAAATAATGCTTACTAATAAGATTGTCCGTTCGAAGGAGAGAAAAGGTTCGCCTGCTCTTCGTTGAACGTTGTTCCACACTGCTATTGGGCTTCCATGCTTCTCGATTTTGTGGACGACTCCAAACATATGTCTATTCAGAGATGCAGGGATCCACAACATCCCACTTATTCATGTTTAAATTGATGCATTCCAACCACTAGACTATTAAATTAAAAAAAATATAAAATATAGTAAAGTTATTAAAAATATAACACTTTTATTAAAAGATTTAATAGAAATACATCGACAATATAAAACAGTTTTACTCTATCAATAAAATCATAACGTTAATTTTTGTAAAAGTAAATTTTTCTTTAAATCACATATAATTTTTTTTTAAAAGTTGTGGAGCACTGAACATGTAAACTATTTTTTATTAAAATAACTTTATTAATTATTGATATGTTTTTTACTATCATAAAATAAGTAAGTAATATTATATTCACTTTAAAATAAAATTTCTCTATAGATTTATCATTACAAAACGAACTGAGCAACAAATATTTTTGTTTAATTTATGGCTTCGATTGTAGCGTAGTTTGATGGACAGTTTCCAATACATTATTAGTTGTCTAACATTTTGACCCAATAATTTAGATTTTTTATACTATTTTATTATTTTAAAATTAAATACAAATTAAATTATATATTTATTAGTAATAATATATTTAATTAAGTATTACACCAAAAAATTAATAAACGAAATGAAATACTAATAAATTATTAATAAGATTATTAAAAATTAAAAATTTAGTAACCTTTTTCATTGACTTGTACTTTATTAAATAAAATAAAAGTTGAGACCTTATTTATTATTTACTTTATTTTGTTTCTTTATTTAAAGTTGAAACATTTTATCAAATCATTATCATGATTCACTGTCATGGAGTCATGTGAAGTATCAGAGATTCTCAAATCGGCCAAAAACATATCCAAAACAGTTTTCCTCTTTCCCCTCACAGCATTCATCCTTGTCCTTCTTCTTCCTCTCCTCGTTTACTTCAACCAATCATCTTCAAAGATTCTCTTCACAACCACAGATGTTGAAAATCAAACAACAACAACAACAAGTAGTTGCAACAATTTGTTTTCTGGAAAATGGGTTCCGTATCTAGAACAACGTTATTACAACGAAACGTGTCCTTTTATAGCAGAGAAACAAAACTGTCTGATTCATGGAAGACCAGACAGTGATTTTCTTAAATGGAGATGGAAACCTGATGATTGTGAGCTTCCTATGTTTGATGCAAAAGTGTTTTTGAAGATTGTTAAGGGAAAGTCAATGGCTTTTGTTGGTGATTCAATTGGGAGAAATCAGATGCAATCTTTACTGTGTCTCTTGAGTCCGGTAAGTTTTTCTTCATCAAAATTTAATGTCCGAATTATATTAATAAATTTTATATCGTAATTTAATCACAATCGTAAATTTATTAAAAATGTTTATTTTTTATTTAATTTTTTATAAAATATTATAATTAAGTGGTTAGGATGACCTGCTAATGTAAAATGTTTTATATTAAATGTGCATAACAATTAAACTTTTTTGTTAAATAGTCTAATGGTCGAAAATGTTGCATTCAACTGAATGTTTGAGGTAACTATTAAATGAGTTGGTTTAGCGATAAATGTATTTTTATTTTTTATTTCAAGCATGATGTTATGGATTAATTGCTTCCTTAATATCTGTTTGGTTGTTTGAATTTTTTAATTTTTTATTATTATTGTGTGTATTTTATTATAAGTGTAGAAAAACAAGAGGAAGGTTGAAATCTGGTAGATGAAAAGTAGTTGGAGGCATATAGACAAGAAAATATTGGCTTTTAGGTATACTGACTCACATGATGAATAAATAATAGTACGACAAAAGAAAAATCTAGGACCCACCTAATACCTGTTTTATTTGCATTTGAATTTTAATTTTTTTTGAATAATTGTTTTTTTAAATAATGATTTTTTCAAAAAAATTATTAAATAATTATTTTTTAAACAAAAAAATTTGCTACACAGAGGTCAAGCCACTCTGTATAGCACATGCATGTGAATTAGAGAGGAGGCGTCACAATGTATAGCTTTGTCCTCCTATGTAGACGCATACATGTAAATTTAAGTGGATGCGCCACTTTAGATGGCTTGACAGTTGTTGTTATTAATTTTTTTTAAATAATAATAAAAGTAATTAAAATATTTTATATTAATATTTAAAATTACACAATGCATAGATACATATGTTTAGAGACATTCCCTCAACCTAAGCGTGTCCCTGTATGACATAAACGCCCATGCCTTTGTCTTACCCCTTGCCTCACCATTCTCTGTTGAATTCCTTAAGGTGTTTGAGGCCTGTTCTAACTCGCTTGATGATAAGGTGCTTGATGATAAGGTGCTTGATGTGATGGTCCTGGTACATTAGAATCATACATCTCCTCGATCATTTCTCTCCAATGTGCTGTGTTTCCAAATAGATTGGTGCCCATGTTATTGAAGTTTGGTCTTGTTGGTTGGGATATCTGTGGGTGAGGTGGTTGATAGGTTGAATCGTTTTGAAAACGAAACAACGGTTATTGAGGTGTCTGGAATTCGTATGATGGTTGGGTGCTTCGATGGTGTGATGTTTGACTGTATGTAGGTTGAGTGGTACGGGAGGAAGGAGAGGTATCAAGTGTCTTCGGTGTTGTGGTAGGATGTAGAGGGTGCATATTGTTGGTGGTGGATCAGGTCGTGCTCTTGGTATTGTGTTTGTGTGTGACATAAATTGATGACGGGTTTGGGTGGATGTGGTGGTGTATGGTTGTTGGGTTTGAGTGGGTTGACATTGTTGTTGGGTTTGATATTGTTGAGGGGTTGATTGTTGGAGTTGTTGTTGGGCGTATGATGTAGTTCTTTGACGTGGGTCGATCAAATATGTCTCATGAGACAAAAAAAAATTTGTTGAAACCAATGTGTACCATCTCAAATATTGGAGAGTTGATTTTAAGTCATCTTGCGAGATCGGCTCCCTTAGGACCAATTCACGTCGATGCCTCCATTGACGACATTGATTTCTAGCGAAGTCTCTCAAATCATTAAATCTCTATTGGTCATCAACTCTGAGTAGATGCCATTGTTCCAAACACGTAGGGGTCTGGGATACCCTATTGCATGCCGAACTGTAGCTTCACACGATCACTGTGGTTTATCTCCACAGTATTGAATCTAATGAGTGATCGAGTTCCTTATACGGCCTCCATACAAACGGTAGAGGAAAAAAATGTTAATCTAATATTAATATTAAACTTAATTAACATATTGAAAGCGTTGTATAAAATATGTAAGCTTAATACCTCTTCGGGTCCAACATGATCAATTTGTTCGAATATTAGGTCTAACTTTGCAACCAATTTTTTTTATAGCAAACTTTCTGGAGTAATTAATTTGTTGTAAGAAAGAAATTTCAATTTCAATTCGGTTTTTTATTTCGTGTTCAAGTTAACATTCGATTACAACAACCTTCAGATAATGGTCCAAAAAATTACAACACGCAAAACACAACAACACGATAAGCAGACAAAACAACTAAACACATCATAATAACTAAGAGATAAAAATCATCAACACAATATTGTCTGGTCCAAGCATTATCATAATGATATCAGCGTTGTGTCTCACCTTTTTCCATGAACGACTTACTCCATTATTGTTCCTCACGGTAATTTGCCTTTCTATTTTTCTGTTCTGTTCACCTTCAGGAATGTCTCCTTCTAACCAACGAATCAAGTGCCTCTGAAAATGCTTGAACGTCTGCGTGTTTCAGAGTTTGATCTTCATCAGAGGCTTTGTCGCTGAAAAAATAACATGAGCATCTTTTTTGATTAGTGAAAACCTTGACAATAGAGTGGAAAACCTTGACAAGGGAGTGAAAAACATTTTTTAAGAGTGATGTGAGAAATGGTGTGAAAAATAGTGAAGATGGATGGTTGTATTTATAGAAAACCAAATACAATTGTCAAACCACCTACAATGGTGCCTCCTCCTTAAAAAGAATATGCATGCGCTACAATGCATGACACTGTATAGGAGGACAAACCATGCACTGTGACGCCTCCTCTCTAATTTACATGCATGCGCCACACAAAGTAGCTTAACCTGTGTGGCAAATTTTTTTATTTAAAAGTGGTTATTTTGATAATTTTTTTGAAAAATTGATTATTTGAGATTTTTTTTTAAAAAAAGTTTTTAAAAAAAATTTCTTTGAATTTTTATTGGTAAATTTGGTTTCTTAGAATTATCTTTTGGAGTTTAGGAGCAGTGAAGTTTGAAAAAATTGGAGGGAAAAAGGATAGAAAATATGGAAGATATTCCCTCAATTTAAATGAGTAATTTTTTTTCACAGAACAACATATTATGAAAATCAGAATCTTCTATCTATGAAATAAAATCTTTAATTATGCATTTGTACTAGGTAATTGATTTTTTTAAATGATTTAAAATTTTATTTAAATTATTATTTTTTAAATTCTTTTGTTTAAATATAATATTAAAAATATTTTTTGTTTTTTGTCATATTTATAAATTTTAAAACTTTTACGTCAATTTTTTAATTGCAAAAATAAGGATCAATTTGCAAATTTAAAAAATTGATTTGTAAAATTTGAAAATTGAGGGTCAACTTGCAATTCCTTGAAAATTTTGAGGGTCAATTTCTAGCATCTCCTCAAAACTTCCAAAGAGAACAGAAGATTTTTTTTTTTTTATCTGTTGTGATTTTAGGCTTTGTTTAGATTTGAATCCGATCTAAGTTTTACTCAAATTCTCTTGATACTATGCATTTGATTTATTTATTTATTTGCAAATCAGATCCATTAAAAAGTTGTCTTTGTTAGTAGTATTATATTAATATTTGAACCGTGTGCAATGCACATGGAGATGTTAAAGTGAAACTTTGGAGTAGTAATTAGGGGAATCTCAAATCAACGTGGGTGCAATTGTTTATAAACTCCATACATTCAATCCCAATTCTTTACTCCAATAACATAGTTTTCTTTGTTGGGGGAGAAAACAACTCCCAAACCTTAGTTTCATTATTAGTCTTTACCAAATATGGTCAGTGTTATTCTTAAGGGTTGAGGTTTCAATCCCATACAAAACAACTCCTGCTACTTAGCTTTACTATTAGTATTTATACAAACAATTTTTGTGTTAGATTAGTTCATATAGAATTTTGCTTTGCCTTCAATTGACCCCTGCAAAGTGACGGCAAGATTGATCCTTAGATTAGTCGTACTTAGGGAGGGCAAAATGAATCTGACGTCCATTTTGTCTGTATTTTTTTTGCGGCCCGCACCCTCTAATATGTTCTTTCTGTTTCGTCTGTCTCTTTTTATGCAGGCTTTTTCGAGACTGAACATATAAGAATTTTTGCAATTTTTAGACTTTATGGATGCACAGTTTGCATGCCCACTCCACCCTCATTTTTTCGTGGGACGGGCAAGATTTTATGTCCACATCCCTAACTAGGAGTGTCCCATCTAATTTTTTGCAGGCTTTTACGAAAACGAATATATAAGACTTTTTTGCAATTTTTAGACGACTTTAGCAGTGCAAAGTCCCCATATCCCCACCTTCATTTTTTTGCGGGATTGGCAAGGTTTTATGCCCGCCTCATTAACTCCGGTCCCATTCTGTTCTTTTTAGGCTTTTGCAAGTGCAAGCATTAACAATAATTTTTGCAATTTTTATACTTTAGGGTTGCAAAGCCCGTATGTCCACCTCACCCTCATTTTTTTTCTAGGACGTATCAAAGTTTTAGACCAACACTTTCCAATATGTCCGTCCTTTTCCGTTTCGTTTTTCTACGGATTTTTGCGGACGCAGACCTAAATTGGACGAACATGCCCATTTGCCACCCATAATTGTACTAGAGTCGGATACCAAGTTTCTAAAAAAGAAAAATAATAGTCCATGTTCATTGCTGTTAGTATATGCTTTTGAAGTTGAGTACTTGCCAAATTCTACTTGCCAAATAAAACTTAATTTCTGCATGTTCTTTCAGGTTGCTCGGCCAGAGGACATTACAACCAAATATGTGTCAAATGATGACCTAACATATTTCAAATGGTGGTTCTATGCTGATTATAACTTCACCATTACAATGCTGTGGTCTCCTTTCTTAGTGAAATCCTCTAAATCTTACATCTACAATAGTTCTAATTTCTACAAACCCGAGAGTCTATATCTAGACGAACCAGATACAGCTTGGACGAGTCGAATTGAAAATTACGACTATGTAATATTCTCCGGGGGACAATGGTTTTTCCGACCATTCACATTCTACGAAAACAATCAAGTTGTTGGATGTCAAAAATGCAACAACTCAATAGAACTCAACTATTACGGATACAAGAAAGCATACCGAACCGCGCTCAAAACTATTATGAATCACAAACAATTCAAAGGATTAATAATTTTGGCGACACATTCTCCGAATCATTTTGAGAACGGCGAATGGAATAAAGGCGGAGGCTGTAATAGAACACGGCCATTTAGTAATGAACAAAAATGGGAAGTGCATCCTTATGGTCTAGAGATATTACACCAAATACAAATGGATGAGTTCAATGCTGCAAAGAAGGATGCAGGCGAAAATGGCTCGCGTTTTGGTTTGATCGATATAACGGACGCGATGTTGATGAGGCCGGATGGACATCCTAACAAATACGGGCACGCGTCGGATAAAAATGTGAGTGTTAATGATTGTGTTCATTGGTGTATGCCGGGTCCTGTAGATACTATCAATGAGATTTTTCTCTATATGATCATGAGAATGAAGTTATGATAGATGATATTTTTAGTTTTGAAATGCATAATTGTGTTTCAGAAAATAATTTTTCTTAAAGAATGTATTGAACAAAGGTGTTAGTGTTTTTCTATGAAGAACTGCTAATTTAGTATTAGGCCTGATAACAAGTTGTTTTTAGGCGAAGTGGTCATAATTACTAGAAATTCACAGTTAGAATTCGAACTCTGGTGTAACGTTTAACCTAGCAATATCGATTTTTGATAGTTGAGATGCGAACAAGAAAAATATTAAGTTAATAACATGATATTATTACACAAATGAACTGCTGATTCTTGTTGTCTGTTTTGATTTTGCCAAAACAGTGCAAGAAAAAAAAATGTAAATGATCATTATGAGGACAGCATTTTTGTTTGTTTGCATACATTTTCTTAAATTCATACCCCTAATTCTTTGAGAAGTAGTCAAAGTAAACTCTTAATTGTTATGATAACATAAATGTTATTATCAATCAGTAGTAGTTTTTTTTTTTTTTTAATGATGAATCGGTCAGTATTTGGTGTTAATTGAAAAGAAATTTATGTAGTTTTGAAATATCTTACAGAAAAGTGGGTCAAAGAAGTGTTAAATAATATTATATTGTTATGGATTTTTTTTATTAAACCAAAAATAAGATACATGAGATGGGAGAGATCTCTTCAAATGATTATGTAGCTTTGAAAGTACAAGGAATCAAGCTGATTCGAAAATCTCCACTTATTATGATTGAAAAAATATGACAATGAAAATAAGAAGCATATGGTGTAATTGGTTCGGTATGAAGTGATTTTTGGTCAAAAAAATAATCCAAATCGATGATGTCTTCATCGGTTTGGTTTAATTTAGTTTTTAGTGTTTTTTTTAAATAGATTCAAACCAAATTAATCGATTTGATTAAGTTTGGTTGAATTTAATTGATCGGTTAAAATTTTTTTTTATCAATATTATATTCATTTGTGTATTCTTTTCTATATTATGTATAAAAGTTGACACTTGACAGTGATTAATACAACTAAAATAAGTTTACTTTCATATTTAATACTATTCAAGTATGATTTATAAGTAAAAAAGATAAATTTCACGCTTATTTGTTAGAATAAAATTTGGTTCTGCAATAATACCTCTGAGTTTTGATGATAACAACGAGTATGTTTGTATGAACAATTTTGGTACTCTAACGTTTGTTATTTTTAGAATTTAACAAACATGTTTTGCTTTTGATAAAAAACGTTGCCAAGATATTAGAAGAGACCAAGTTCCACTTCTGCGCTACACAAGTTCTGATGAACAGTAGCAAACTACTTCAGAAAACTCTAAAGTTTGGACTCTGATACACGGTCAAGAAATCAAGTTCTGAAGATCTGAAGACAGAAGTTCTGATGAACAAGTCCAAATGCTGAAGACTTATGTTTCTGAAGAAAAAGGATTCTGAAGACCAAATGCTAAAGACTCTGAAGACTTGAAGTTCTGATGACCCAAGTGTTATTTTGTTTCTTCTGACCCATGCTCAATCAGAAGCCTCTGAAGTCAAGCAGATAATAAGATAAATATTACGTTGTACAACAATACATGGTACAATCAAAACATTTCATTCCACTACCATGAAGGACGGATACGTTGTACGATCTTATCCCCCACGTAGAATCAAGCTGCTAGCTTTCTGGAAATTTCAGAAATGCCCTCCAACAAATATATTATTTTATTGGCTATATATATATATATATATATATATATATATATATATATATATATATATATATATATATATATATATATATATATATATATATATATATATATATATATATATATATATATATATATATGCTTGAAGACCAAAGGAAATGGCCGCTAATTCACGTTCTCTCATAAGACTGTTAATAGTATTTCTATTTTCTTATGTCTATTGTTCTTGAAATACTATTTCCTATAAGCTTGTGTAGAAGTAAATCTATTATAAACAAATCTTTTTCAAACTGTTGTTTGATTGTGCCTTAAGGGACCAGTTGGTCAGAATCTTTAAGAAGTCTAAGATTAGTGTGTCTTAGAAGTTGTACGTGAGTCACTTGCAGTTAATTTGTGAAAATAATTGAGTTGAAAACTGAAAAGAAACGATGTTGGTTTATCATTATCGAGCCATAATTAATTGATAGGCCCTTAAAGAGTTAAACGGTAAAATAGTAATAATTAAATTGGAATAATTAAGAATGTAAAATGCCAATTAAGAATATGAATAACCTTATTTAATTAGTTTTAATTAGAATGTAATTTTACTAGTAGTTAACTTTATTATATTTATAGTAAACAATAAGTTTTTTAATTTCTCTAAAGTAATGATGGATTTTTGTGAGTTACCAAACTAAGAAACACATAAGTAAAATGAAAAGAAGGATAAATGGAAAAAGTAAGGGTGTTTGATTGATTGAAGTAAATTATATGTACAAGTGCCATATTTTTAGAGAACACTAATCCTATAGGTCAAAATATTGTGAACTATAGAATTTAGCATTGCTCATCTATTTTCGTAATTTCTCTTAATATTAAGAGTATGTAATTCCCATTTTATTTTATATGGTGTTTTTAGCTTTTCTAATCCATACATACATATTTTCTTTAGAACGTGCTTTATTATAAATTGTTGTTCTGATTAATAGTGGTATAAACATTGAATTGAATACGAGTAAAATGGTGTCAAATTCCACTTTTATTTGATTGATTCTTTTTGTCATTTTTGTAAACCTCGTTGAATTTGAGAAATACTTGTTTGTCTCGTATTCATTTATTTTTATTTGATTAGCTCTAATTTTGTTAAGGAGAATTTGGCTATTGCAATGTTTAGACGGTTGCCAATTTCACTAACAACTTATTATATTAAAAAGAAGACCAATGAATCAATTTAAATATTAGAGGTTTGTCTTAAATGATCATGTCTTGAATTGAATCACAGTCTTGATTAAAATATTTTTTGAATTGATTCAAAGGAAAGGTTGAGTTGGATCACCAAAATATTTGAATAGATTTCTAGAAACTGAATCAAAACACGATGAATCAAAATATCTTTTTGAATCGATTCAAACAAGTGCGTGAATTGATTCTCCAAAACAGAATATAAAATATGAATTTTAAAAATTTCATTGAATCAATTCATAATTCAATTTGAATCGATTCAGGCAAACTTGACATTTTGAATCGATTTATAAACCATTTTGATTGGAATCATTTAGGTTGATTTTAGTCAAACATTCATTTTATACATAAAAATTATTTTTACTTTGTTTATGAGGGGATTATAAAGAGAAAATTCAAAATATAATAGATGATTAAAAGGAAGCATTAAAAGACGAAATAAACAGATAATGTACATGAGTAATTTAAACACTTATATTATACATTTTTCATATATATATATATATATTATATATATATATATATATATATATATATATATATATATATATATATATATATATATATATATATATATATATATATATATATATATATATATATATATATATATATATATATGAATTTTGTTTTTTTAATCATACATACTATTTTTTTAATATATATCACAAAATAATATATTTTTTCAAATATAGAAATGTATATATATACTGTTTTCCAAATATATATATATATATATATATATATATATATATATATATATATATAATATATATATATATATATATATATAATATATATATATATATATATATATATTATATATATATATATATATATATATATATATATATATATATATATATATATATATATATATATATATATATATATATATATATATATATATATATATATTATATATATATATATATATATATATATATATATATATATATATATTACTTTTTTTCAGTTATTTAAATAATAATAATATATAAACCAAATATCACATATATCAAAAAATAATATTTTTTTAATTATTATATATATAAATAATTTTGAAATATATACACAAATATATCTACAAATATATCAGAAAATAGAAATTTTATAATAAAAATCTGAAATTGATGAATAAATACTGTTGTTTTTTGAAGCTTTTTATAGTTTTCTCTAAAATTTAGCTCCCTTTGTATATATCAATTAGTAACTGAAAATAAAAATTTGAACAAATTACACACTAATATTGAAAATAAATTAAACACATAACAAAATAATTTAATTTATTTACCTGAAACCTTTAAATTGTGATTGGAAATTTTAGGTTTTATTTGGGAAAAAAATGAGAAGAAGAACAATGGAAGAGAAGAACCTGCAGAGAGGCAGGGAAGAGGGAAGAGATGAGGAAAATATGGAACGAAAATGGAAACAATGGGTAAATAAGTGTTGCAATTATTTGGCTTGAAATTAGCGAGGGGAAGCCTAACGAAAATAAAACGTTCAAAAGTGGCGTGGGGAAGCCCCTCGCTAAATAATGCATTGAAAAAAGGCCCCTGCAGGCGCAATCTGCACACTGTCATGAGTAGACAAAAATTATCTAGATGGCAGGGGTAGTCCCTTGCTATTGTCACGTTGACAAATAGCTTGGGGTTGCCCGTCACTATTTATAAAGATTTGTGCACATTTTATTTTTCCCAGAAGATTGCCCCTCGCAAATGATTATTTTAAAATTTAAATTTTCTCTCTTTTAATTTTGCGAGGGATAACCCCACGCAATATATTTTTTATTTTTTTCTTCCCTAATCTGCACTTTGCGAGGGACTTTGCACATGTGTACCTGATTTTTTCTCTCAAAGGTTTAACCCTTGGCTAAAACCCCTAACATTTTTCATACTTTTTTTTAGTGATTAGATTAATTCTGATTTTTGCAAGAAAAATTTGACTATTACAAAGTTTATCTCCTTGTCGATTTCACTAACAATTTATTATTTTTAAGTGTAAACATAATCAATAAAAATTAAAAATTATAACTAATTAATATAACTAAATTTTATATCTAGTACACCACCCAAAAAAAAGTACATTTTTGT